TCCAAATATTATAGGTGTGGGAGATATATGATATGGGTATGTGGGACAAGTCGAAGAGAGAGAGAGAGAGAGAGAGATGAAGTAGGGGCCCAGTTTTATGTGAACATCACATGAGTGTGGACCTGAATTGAGTTGGGGCATTTGTGTGAGTTTTACAAGTTCATCCCCCCCACAGCTCCTTCTTTGCCCTTACCTCTATGTGGACCTCAAATAGAAAGCAATGGGGGTTAAAAATGAAAATATGGGAGACCCATAAATGACCCATAATTTGGATTCCACTCTGAGTTAATGTCCCAAAGGAGCGATGGAAATGGAGGGTGGAGATGGTGGGGAGTAGAGCAAGGGGGGTTTTGGGAGTGAGGGAGCGTTGAGGAATATTAACTCGGAGTGGGAGGGAAAGTGGGAGTGGGGAAGTGGGAGTGGGAAACTGAGTGGAAGGGGAGAGAAAATAGTAGTTCTATGGGTGGGGCCCAGTCGGTGTGAGATTCCAATTTTCCAATCCAATTCACTTCTCCTCTCCCTAATTATTTTTAAACTTAATTTGGTCAAATTTTGGGACATATAAATTTATTGTCAAAATTAAATAAAATTCAAATCCAAATTCATCGATGCCTTCTCACAAAATTCATCCTACTCTAACTAACTCATGTGAAACTCTAGAAATACAACACCTCTCTCCAATTTCAAAAATTCAAATATTTTTGTAAAAAGTTCCTATATTAAGCCATTTATTTATAATTTTAGGAAAATCACTCCTTAAAAATCAAACATTATTCCCCATAGGCTCCGACCTAAATAATAATCACCCCAATCTTCGAGAAAATTAATGACAACTTGAACATTAGAAAACTTCAAAACCTAAATAATTTGAAGTTCACACTACCTTCAAAGTGAAGAGAAATAAATGAAGACTAAAGATGTGGACGATCAAAACATTTCAACCTACAAATAAGATATTTTTGAACCCAACATAAAAACATGAGAAGCATTAATGACTTCAAAATTTTAATCAATCTTCCAAGCATATCAACTAGCACAAGACTCACTCTTTCAAGTAAATCATGAAATTAAAAGTTGATCTCATCCAACCAAATCAATAAAACAATGATTAAAAAAAGAAAAAAAAAGTTAAAAAGTAAGTATAGATTCTAAAAATGTAGTTAGAAGTTATGATTTAGGCAACGAAAAAGGATATTGAGCAAAACCCAAAATCCAAAATGTTTGTTTCTTTTGGTGAGATAATTTTGTCACATTCTCTTTCTCTCTCGATATATATATATATAATATAATCCAATATAAAATTGAAATTGATATGGCTTATCTGTTTTGATGCCCCCACACATGTATTCATCAAATCTCTATCACTATCTCGATTTTAGATACCGAATGCTCATTTTCACATTACCTTTTTTTTCTATAAAGAAAAAAGAACAATATATTTTCTTTAATAATATTATGTTAATGTAAATAATTATATATATATTTTTTTTTAATAAAAAAACGGCACTTCATCTAATTTTTAAAACTAACTAAATTTTAAGTTTTCCTCGATTAAAATCCAAATGAAAATAATTATTTTCTGAAAAAATTAAAAGAAAAAAACACAAGATTGCATCTGAAAACTTTTTTTTTTTTTTTTTTGGAATAAAGGAATAAGAAAGACGATGAAAAGGCAAAAATGTTAACAAAAAAAAAAATATAATAATTAATGGATCATTATCGCATTGTAATCTGAGAGTGATGATAAGGTTGAACAGTCAAAAATTGTGGGCTCCATTATTAAGATATATATATATTTCCTTTTGTTTTTCTTTTTTTTTTTTTCTTTTTATCAAAAGGAAACTGAAATCTTAAAAGGTTGAAAAGGAATAAAATGTATTTTTATTTGGGCATGCCTTTTATAACCCAATTTTAGACTGCTTTTTTCTTTTATAAAACTGATTGCGGCTTCCTGAACCAATATTTTAATTCCTACAATGAATGGTATTGGGTTGCTTTTATTGGTTTCTAGATATGCTTCATCAACTTCCCTTTACTCGATTATTTCACTTATCTTCTAATTTCAAAATTAAAACATATAATAAACTCAAAATTAAATTAAAACAAAAAAAAAAAAAAAAACAAAATGTGTTTGAATACAATCATATCACAGGGTGGTTGGAGAAGATAGCTTCGTGGGGCGTGTTCCACTTGGCCACCCAATTTAAATAAATTCAACAAAAATAATGAATCATTTCATTGCTTTGGTTCACCCCATTTTGGGCTTAAATCACACGTGATCAAATTGCTTTTTTAAACATCCCACTACCAATAATGTTATTATTGCTTAAACTATAAAATAAATTTCTATTTTATGCTCCTTCAATTTTTATTCTACTTAAACCTTCTCACCAATTTTCCACACACAAAAATATGACACGCTTTGAACCCATTAGTCATTGGTCCAAGTCAATCCTAAACCAGCCCAAAAAAAAAAAAAAAATCTTTCTAAAATAAATTTCTTTTAGCCAATAAAATTGGATCAAAAAGAAAAAACTCCAAACAAAATTAGGAAACAACCGACCAAACCATAATTGATACTTAATTTGTCTGTTCGAGTCTATAAAAAAATAAAAAACAAAAATAGATAAACTATAGATTAAAAAAATAAAAATAATAAGATGATTGGAAGTAGAGATGATGTAGTAAGCAATTAGCTTAGTACTTTTGTATTGGACATGTGAGTCTTGGTTTTAAAATATATTTGAGTTTGAATATTTAGGCCAACATGGGATTAGTTAATTTTAGTTACTTTCGTTATTCTCAAAAAATTCATTATAATTTTTAAAACTATTTATTAATTTTTTATTATTATTTTGCAGAAGCTTTTTCTTTAATCTGAAAATAATGCTATCACAAAAATATTCAAATATTTAGACCAGTATAAAAGGAAGCATATCTTTTTCTTTTGAAAAGGAGTAACATGATAACAACAATTATGAGTACGATAATGATAATATTGATTTTTTTTTATATACATTACTTTTAAATATTTAGACCAATTTCCCAGTTTCAACAAGTATTTATATTCATTTTAATTATTAAAATTTTATGTTATTTGTAGAATAATTAAAATTCATTATTATTAAATATTAATTGTACAAATTAAGTTCAATTTTAATATATTGAAATTGAAATTCATCAAAATTGAAGTACAATTAATATAAATAATTAAGTTTGGGTTAGGGAGCAAAAAGAGAAGAAAAAGAAAAAGAAAAAAAAAATGTTAAGAGGAAACAACATAGTAAAGGGGAAAAGGATAAGGTAGAGCATGGACCACACAACTGTGTACAAAAATTCATTGACTAATGATGGTTGACCACCAATAGTCGTCAAGTGGGCCCCGCCATTCCTTAAATCTCACGACACAGATTTTAAGCAATTCTACGGTGCCCACAGATGCTTAGTTACGACAACCCTCACATTTGATTCCTCCCTTTACCAATCTCTTGGAATGCTGACGGTGTTAATTTTATATAATATTGTAATTAAATTCTTTCTTTTTATATATATATATATATATTTATTTATTTATTTTTGTTTTAATACCGTGTAGCCTCAAATCTCTCTCAATAATAATAATAATAATAATAATAATAATAATAATAATAATATTATTATTATTATTATTATTATTATAAAAAAAAAAAAAGAAAGAAAGAAAGAATTAGAAATAGGCCAAGTTGAGTAAAATTTAACTCATTACACAGAAGTCAAATAAAAGCTGGCCACTTGGCGAACCAATGGCTGCCCACTTGCAAATACCATTGATTTCCCTTTTTTTTTTTTTTTTTTTTATTATTGTAATAAATTAGGAAATAAATTCCCACCAGGTCTACTTAAAAGGTCAACAAAACCCACAAGAGATGGATTATATTTAACCAGAAATTAAAGGCATCATAATATTATTTGCATTTAATTATTATTTGCATAAAACTGGTAAACAAAAGATATTTGGGTTATGATGGAAATAATTGGTAATGTTAGATAAAGTCAAATATTTGGGTGGTGTGCTTGAAGACATTTATGGCCTTTTCCATTCCAACAAACATGTGAGTTTGAAATTTCATCACAAACTTTATTTTTATTTTTATTTTTAAATAAAACATTTCTTAACTCAATTTATAATCTTATATCCAACTTGTTACATGTGATGGCTTCTAGGAATCATTGTTTATATGGTCAAATTGTGTCTCCTCAACCCCTCAAAAGCTAAAAGAAAAAAAACAAAAAAAAAAACATGAAATAATATTTAATGTTCAACAAATATTCTATCAATACCAAAATATAAATCTCATATACAACATAAAATACAATTTTATTTTCATTCAAAATACGATCGAATGAAGCGTTAGTCTAAAAACGAATGTAAACCTCTTTTGTTTTAGGTAATCAACTTGCGGTTCCAATAATACCCAATTGATAGTTACATGGTGAGTTTTTGACCAAGTTAGGCGAGAATGGTTTGTAATGGTAAGCAAAGAAGAGAATAGGTTTAGTTGAAGAACACATGGAATGGAATGAAGTGTGGAGTGAAGTCAACTGGTAGGGTTGCATGGACAGATGGGTTTGGCCTCAAAAGTCAAAAAAAACAGACACTTTTTTTTTTTTTTTAATTTGTTTTTAACAGCAAACTTCACACTGACCAATTCCTCGCCTTTTGTAAACATCAGATGTGGGCATTTACAAACCATTTAAATTCATGCAAAAGCTTATAACTTTCCTTTTTCTTTTTCCTTTTTTAAAAGTTGTGTTTGAAAAAATTGGATTGGAGAATTTTCAACTCCCTCACCCATCCAATCACATTGCTTACATTCTTTCTCACTGACTTTTCATACACAGTTTGTTTGTCTTTTTGGCTTTTGATTTGGTTCAATCCAAACCCAAACTAAAGGGTGTTTGTGTGTTAATAATAAGCTTAAAGGAGTGAGCGAGGAATCAACCGGTTCGAGACAGATTATTGGGAGTGAGTCCCACGTTAGCTAATTTAGGGAATAATCATGGGTTTATAAGTGACGAATACTATATTCATTATTATGATGCCTTCTGGAGAAGCCCAAATAAAAGTCATGAGAGCTTATGCTCAAAGTGGATAATATCGTATCATTGTGGAGATCCGTGATTCTGTGTGTTGTTGTGAAATGGTAACGTTTTTTTTTTCTTTTCTTTGTAATGGGAAACCTTGAAATATGAATGAAGGCAGAGTCGGAGGAAACAGCAGAGCATGACGACACACAAGTTGCAGCAGAAGACTGGGCCATGTTTCTAATAAACTTCACTAAATAATAATTTCAATTTTGTCACGCCAATAAATTACTATATATATATATTGAAATGTAAAAGGGTTGGGCATCTTCTCAGCAATCCACAAACATATAAGTATTGCAGCCACTGGGATTCTGACATCTTTTGACTATTACCAAAAACATCAATCCTTTGTTCAAGAATGAGATTTTAGTTCCTATTTTGATCCCATTTTCATTTCAAATAGATTTAGTTCTCGTACTAAATTTGCCATCTTTCTTTACCTTAATTCAACCCTCTTTTCTTCAACTGAATGATACATGCCAACAAAAATCTTACATTAAATGCTTATTTGGGATCTTCCGTTCCAAACGTAGAATGAAAGATCATAGGAATCCACTATGAAATTTTCGAGATGGGTTAATTGCCTCATAGCCTACTGCTAATTTATAACTTATTCAATTATTATAGATAGTAAAACTATATATAGAAAATCATATATAATAAACGAACGTAAATAGTAAAATTATATATGAAAAATGATAAAAAAAACTAATAAAGGTGTATATGCTAGATAGTTATATATAGTAGGCGGTTAGATCTAATAAAGTTAAATATCTTCAACCGAAACCACATATATATACACTGTATATGTACTTCTGCATTTTCAATATTCTCTTGCTAGACATACCTGAAATCATCCATATAAACTCTTAGTCAATAATATTCATTACATTTTCTCTTATTTTTTGTGTTCATTTGGATCGAGATTGTTATTCAATCCTCCTGTATATCAACTAATTTAAATAATATCCAAAGAGAAAATGAAATAAACCTTAGACAATGAAATGAATGGTGGAAAAACAGATTCGTGGAAATTCAATAACTTACAACAAGCAGTTCATGAGAAAACTGACTGCTATCCACCAAAAATAGTGTATATACATTTTTGGTACAGAACTTACATGTTATGTTATGGAGACATCCCATTACATAGAATAATGATCTGTGCTTTCCAAATGGATACCAATCATATATCAAATGCTACATACCAAACTTCTTACTGTTCAATTCATCAAAAAAGATGTAATTGCTCTCTCTGATACAATGCTTGCTTACAGATTCTCCACATTATTCTGTGTCTCATTTCAGCACCAAAGCCGATGATTGTATTCTGTTTAGGCGTCCTGTGCGGTCGTGTTTAAGTTAGTTAGCATTATAAAGGTCGGTTGCGGTTTCAAAAGTCTCTCTGTTTCCTGTTTTTTGCGGCATAACTCAGTTGAGAGGACTGAAAGGTGATAATCCCTTGGCGTGTTGACTCTCCATTTCCAGGAGCATTAAGGATTTCTGCCTCTGATACCTGTTCCTTTTGGCAGCAAGAGCTGGAGTATAGTTATCAGAAGCAGTTGCATATGTTAGCACACAATTCAACCAAAATGATCCCTTGTGTAAAATAAAAAAAAAACTAAAACTAAAACACAGTTCTTAGCGAGAAATCATAACCATAAACAAAAAAAGTTGCAGTCCGGGCTTAGATAATCAGATTACGAATATAGAGACTAGACAGCAGCATACAAATCGGATGCATGAAACGCAAGTACATACTTCTCATGAGGTCACAATTTAAGAAAAACATTTTTCATGCATTGTGAGACGTTACGACAATATACCTCTTCATAATTCTATAATGGTATGATATTGTCTACTTTTTCTAGAGCACACCACCTCATTGATATCCAAATGTACTTCCTTGCCTATCTTATCCTTATTCCTTGTCAACTTTCAAACTTGTTTGATATCCGAGTCATCACGTCTTTCTTTCTAAGGCTTGCTACATGTATGATAACCACTCAATCATAGTAGGATATTTGACACCGACCCTTAGCAATCCTCTCCTTGAACAAAGATCATTGAGCCTCCATTAGATTGGCATGTCTAGTAGAGCTTTATTGTTCACCACTTTTTGTCCTACATCAGAAGATTCATCCACAATTTCTCACATGAGAATCTTTAGGACTCACCAACTTTGTTCAATACCTAAAGATTTTACCGACACAACTAAATTTCAGGCATGATCTTTTATTCGAGCAAGGATTATATAGTGAATCTTAATTCAATCCTTTCAACGTTTGAGATCATTTTGTGTTTGAATATTAACAAGGATAAGAGCTATATGTGGTATTAGTTGATGGGATGATAAGATTGAAAGATGGGCTTCCGTAGCAGATTGTGAGATTGGGTCCTTTCCCTTTAATTATTTAGGTCGTCATCTAGGAAATAATCCAATAGTCCTTTTGAAGTTCAATGGTTCAAAAGGTCGAGAAGGTCTTTCCTTGAGAAAAAAGCTTGCTTTTCTAAGGGGGTAAGATGATATTCATTCAACTGGTTTAAGACAACATGACATAGATAAGGCAACACATTAGTGTTTGAGATAAGGCAACACATTAGCGTTTGATTAAGTAGGATATGAACACGTTGGGGTTCATGTTTGGTAAGTTTTTCTATTTCTGAATCCTTGATTCTTCTCTCTATTAGGATCGCTCAACAACACACACTCGATCAAGATGAACACAAAAAATAGGAGAGAAAATTCAAGGAGGAAAATGGGCTAAAAGTTCCATTGATAACTTCAGGTATGTAGAAGAGAACGAAGAGTACATTTTGAAAGCACTAATATATATATAGTTTTCGATTACTAACTATAGCTTTAACAGATTCAACGACCTACGAAATATCTACCACATATATCTCTACCAGATATTTACGAAATATCTACTATACATATCCTACCAGATCTTTTACTATAAACAAGCATCAGACTCCATGTCCAAACACTCTCTTTGCATGACTTCTTTTATTTGGGTATCGAACATGTGCCCAAAGCATGTTCGAACACATCCATGTCTACCATGTGTCTAACAAGAACACTTTCTCCAAAACAATGTGTCCATGTTGGGACAAAGCATTGGTGTTTCCTAGAATGGAAATATTCCTTGTTTGTGGCGACCTAAAACGAGTCAAGAAACTTCTCGAATAGAGTCCTTTTTGGGGAGAACCAAAGATGGATTAAGGTTGCCTTCACAGCTCATCCTAGCCAACTAATACTAGGCCAAGATGTCTCCCTTTATAAGTTTTCTTTAGTTCAAACCAATCATCCAAACTATCATCATCATATATCAGCATCTCCAAACATAACTGTTCGATTCAGTTTCTGTTTGGCAACATTTGAAGAAAAACAATAAAGTAAGAAGAAGAAACAGCATAAAGGAAACTATAAATCTAAATAAGAATTGCTTGTTTCATGCAAAATGTTAGATTAGTTGAGGGTGGGGGTAAACAAAAAAGAAGAGAGAAAATCAAAGGTGTTTGAACATGATACTTACAAATTAATTCACTCGGCAACCCAAAATCATAATCATTTCGACGTCTTCTGATGCAGCATATGTAGATCACTGCCAGCAGTGCACAGAAAAGGAAGGTGGATGATACAGCTATTGCAATTTTACCATTTTTAGACAACCGCCCATTTTCCCAGAATATAGGGCATGTTGGTAGGGAAGGCACACCGCATAAACCCTTGTTACCAGACAGACTGAAGGAAAAAAAACAAAACACAGCACACAAAATTAATGTTGATTGTTTTAAAATTAAAAAAAAAAAAAATGTATAATATATATTGTGTGCTTGTGCTTGTGCGCGTGTGTAGTGGTAAGTTTTGTTATTTAAGTAAAATATAAACAAAAAATGTGTCATATTGCATTTAAGGCATTTGATGTTTGGTAAGTTATTTTATCATTAAGCTTTAATTTCTTTCATTCTCTACCTTCCGTTTTACTTTTACCCAAATCTAATGAAAATGGGAAGATAAACTATAAATTACAAAAAGGAGGGTAAAATTTGTACCAAGTGAAAGCTAAAAGAGATGTTGATTCAATAAACTAAAATCATGATTCTTATCCATGGAGATGCAAGCGATGGATTGGAATTAACAATTCCAAAAGAAAGCTTTGTTCTTGTTTGAAAGTTTTACTCTGTTCTAACATTTTTATTTTATTTTTTATGCAGATTTCTTTATCTAAAAATTATCGGATGTCAAATCCATGAGTTCTGTAATCTAAAAGGGAAATTTCAACTGGAAGCATGTTAGGGACATTTTGTCTCTGAGAAAACAACGATTCCAAATGCTCTATGAACTTGGAGGCACCTTCATTACATGGACCTATCAACTTCATTCATTCAATTCTGTAGTTAAAATATTCAATCTGGTCGGGAGATATTATGGGTGTCTGTGGTCTTTCTAGGGATAGGGAGTGGGGTTTTGTGAAGTCGAGTAAAAGAGGGTACATAAATGAACCGAGTAAAAGAAGGTACAGAAATTAGGAGTTATATGGTTGAAGGAAAAACTCGGTCTCAATGGAGTTACTATTTCTGGGGGCATGGAGTTGGAAAGAGAGAGAGCCAATTTCTTTTCCTCCTTGCTTACACCACCCCAAGTTTCCAAGTTGTTCATGACGGGTTAGATTAGCAACCTATAGAAGCAGATTAGCAACCTGCCTGCCACAAAACCTGGCCCTACCACCAAAAGATTGATTCTGGAAAACCTCCTTCAATGTAGCAATGTAATCTCTATTCAAACATTTTGAGTACATGGTTGTACTTTTTCAACCGCGTGGCGTCGTGATCTTGACACGCTCACAACCAATCTTGAGGAGAACCTAAGCCCTGTATATTTTTCACCCGACTTTGTAGCTTTGTCGGACCTTAGGCAAGATTTGTTTGCACCATCTGAACATCGCTCATGCAGAATCTAAGCTTGTTCGGACACACACGCTGCTTGCACGTGCATGTTCAATCATTTGCGACACAACCGACTTGCCTTTACACTAGGTCAAGTTATTCGGCTCGACCTTGCTTTACTCGGAGCCAAGGTCTCTCATGTGCAACGTCACATCCAACATCATTTTGGTTCCCAATTAACATGGTCATCATGTTTTGATGCCATTCCAAGTCATAGGGTGTCGTCAGCCATCAAGAACGGGCCATGTGTCGTTCGTAATCTTGGGACATCTCGAACATCCATCAATCCAAGTTCAATCAAGTCATTGGCCCTCCCGAGCACATGTTATGTCATTTACGGATAGTGGGTGCATAATGCAACCTCCAACACATGAGCTGGAGTGTAATATTAGCATACCCGTGTCGCCCAGTACTGTCCATGAAAAACCCATGAGTTGTTATGTTTTTGTTTGGTTCTTATTTTTTTCCCTCCGACACTCCCCTAGGATTTACGATACAAGTCATGAACTTGACAACCTGTGTCTGAGGCTTAATATGTTCCAAGCAACACAGTCTTAACCTATGTCCAAGGTGTCATGCGTTTCGAATGACGTAGTCTGAACCCGCATCCAAGGTTTCATGCGTTCCTTGTGATATGGTTGGAAAACCTATGTCCAAGGTGTCATGCGTTTCGAATGACGTAGTCTGAACCCACACCCAAGGTTTCATGCGTTCCCTGTGATATGGTTGGAAAACCTATGTCCAAGGCTTCATACGTTCCAAGTGGCATAATCTAAATACCTACCCTCAAAGCTTCTTACGTTCTAATCACCTAGTTTGAAAACCTACATCCAAGATTTCTTGCATTCCAAGCAATGTTATACCATGGAAAGTCTAGGGTTTCTTGAGTTTTTGAGTGCGAGGACCTTAGTCCATTATCTGTATCTAGTATTATGCTTATCTCTATAAATGTAGGGCTTGTGTTGGTATTTCTCTTGGTTCTCGTTCTTAAAGCATTCTATAAATTTCTAGGGTTCTTAATTTCTCGAGGCATATGTTATTTATCGGGTTGGTATATCCCTTCGTTCTTGTTCTTAAAACATTTTATAAATTTTCAAGGTTCTTAATTTCTTGAGGCCTAGGTCATACATTAAGTTCAACTTAATTCTTATGAATTAGGAACCCAATAACATGCATGAGTCATTGAAAATATCATGAAGTCATAATGTGTTCAAATCTGGAATATAAATTTATGTCATTAGAAATAGGCGTTACAAAAGTAGTAAGTCATTTGAATGATGTTTAAACTTCTAGGGGCATTTTGGTCATTTTACCCTCTAATCCTTCGTTAAACCCCTAAACTGTTCCAATGACTTTCAAATTTTACACCTATTACAAAGTTTCATGTCCTGAGGGCATTTTGGTCATTTTGTTGATTTAGACACTTATCCTTATCTAATGACCTAGAGTTGATGTATTCTTTTAACATGTTATAACATGTCACATTATTTTCAGATTTAGAGTTGATGTATTCTTTTAACATGTTATAACATGTCACATTATTTTCAGATTTAAAATTTCATGGGGCTGAGTTCATCTAGTTGGTTATTTTCACCTTACTTGAATCCCGAGCAATTCGCTTGATTCAGGACCTTTCGTTCATACTTGGTTTAAGGTCCATATTAAAATCCAAATGATCCCTACGAGTATTTCTTCAAAAAAGTCCAACATAGCTACTTACCTTAATGTTGACATTCGGGTCTTCAGTTCTCAAGCTTCTAATATCCAAATTAATCTAAATTTTTTCATTAGATCCATTTTTTAGTCCAGTTTGAAGAACCCCAAAGAAATTCATGACAACCGATCTGGAAGGGGTCTAAATTAATCAAAATATGTAGAAAGGCAAGGGCTACCTTGGTTTTGTATTGGTCCATGTTTGACCTTTGACTCTAGTCTTCATCTTCTTCCTGGCTGGAAAATCACTATTTTTTTTATCATATACCTCTCATTTTGCCCTACAGCTCTATACAGACCATGAATTAACTCAATTTCTTAGCAAAACGTTTAGATAGAGTTTCAAAGGAGTAGAGACTAATTTCATCCTGTTTTGTGGTTTGTAGATCGAGTTATAACCTTACAAAGTTCGCCTGAAAACATGTTCTTCCCATAATAAACCTAGAAAACTTTTTATTGGTCGGAAAATTCTAGACCTTATCAAGCTTTGATTCCTTCGTGCAACTGGTTGGAAATCTCATAGGGAATGTGTAGGAGGGACAATGATTAACCATAGCCCAGAAACCCGAGAGACAAAAACCCATAAACTAAAAGCTTCACACTTTGAGTTTTAGGAATTCTCGAATTCTTGTCTTAAAACATTGCCCACAATTTCTTATTTTTAGATGAAACTTGCACCATCATTAATTATTCTAGAATGGTGGTGAAGTTTCACTTTTTATTTTAAACTTTTTTGGAATACTTGTCGAAAATATGTACTCCGATGAGAGTTTTGTCGACATTGGTCTTGAATTTCAACCGTTGGATCTAGAGAACTTCGAGTTTCTTGAACATATTCAAATTTAAGTTCAATCCAAGGGTTGGATGTGAAGATACAAACAGGAGGACGACTCTAGAACCAAATTTGTTTCCAAATTTTCGTCAGTGGCATTTCGTAATTAAGAGGAACTTCAAGGACATTTTTGTAATTTGCCATTTTTAAAATTATTTTATTATTATTTTTTCTGTAAAAATCCAAACTCTTCTAAAAAATCCTTCATCCTTGTTGGAAATCATTTTTTCCTTCTTAACCACCTTGAAATTCCTTTAATTAAAAATCGGAGAATGTTTCTTAAACGACTTTTTTGCCGATTATGCTTACTTTTTTTTCTTTTAAGATCTTTTTCCAAAAGCCTTAAATCTCATATAATCATTTGTTATGACATTGAAATTACCTGGTTAGGACATTTGTACTTGTTTGAATCCTTTAATTCCTTTCCTTAGATCCTTTAGACCTTACATGGTGCCTTAAACTTACCTGAGTTATTTTAACCTTACTTCGGGTATTACAAATTCTTCCCCTCTTTAGAACTTTCAGTTCTGAAAGTTCATTACTTTTAACTTGTCTTTGGAGGTACTTATTCTTAATCATATCCTTCCATGTTGCTTGAGGGTCCTTTTCCGACTTTGTCCTTCTCCGGCTTGTCTTTATAATTGTCCTTGTGGCCTTAGTCCTTAACTTATATCTTGAGGCCAAGTACTTATTTCAGCATTTGTTTCTCTTGATTGTCTTCTCAACGTCTTTTGTTGAGATGACCAGCTTCCTCGCATTTGATTACCAGCTTCCTCGCATTTGATTATATCTTAAGACTTATCTTCTTTCCTTGTACACAACAAGCCTTGACAGGATCAATCTTGTTCCTCCAAGGTTGTATCTGAAAGATTTCTCTGGTTCCTTCTTCAGATATCTCTGGTTCCTTCTTATATAAGGCTTGTCAGTGGGTTATTAGGGGCTTAAACCCTTCTTCCTTAGTGTTACAAGATTTTCCTTAACCTGGTAACTACCCTTAGTCCTTGTAAGGATTTTTTTTTGTTTTTTTTTTCTTCTTTCTTGAGGCAGATCTTTTGGGGGTCTATAACCTTAGTTCTTTCCACTTGGTATCATGAGCTTTTAGGGTTACTACTGGTCCCTTTTGTCCCTTAGGGTTCTTAAAGTTATCTTGAGTCTTAGCTTGTACAGTAACAAGTTAGATAAACACTTAGAATCCTGAGGTATACTTGTCTTAAAGCTTGAAGGGTGTACATACTTGGTCGAGACGAAGCATCTCTAAAGGGATTCAAGCAAGAATGAGGGCCCTGAGTAAGTAATTTCAATGTCATAACAAATAAATATAAGGTTTTAAAGCCTTTGGAAAAAGATTAGAAAGGAAAATGGCAGCATAAGGGAAAAAAAAAAAAAAAAAAAAAAAA